AAACTACAACTTTGCCAATGTGCCAACAATCTCCGAACACGAGAGCTTCAGCTTCAGGATAAAACACTTGGCTGATGCTTATGATGTATCAGATTGCTTATCTGTTCAACGCACGAGGATGCTGCATTTACGAAAGCGGAAGGGCGTATATGGTTTACTCGGCATGGGGCCAACCATGTAGCAGGACTTGTGGATTGGAACGCACTTGATACCGCATCGGCAGTGTAACTCTCAGGTCTTTTTATCTCTTCATTCGTTTGCCTCTGTAGCATCCTCATAATCATTCTACCATACTCACCGTCCGCACCCTTCACAAAGTACACTGTAACCTGCACAATGGCCTTCGCACCTCCAGCAGCCGACCTTGGTACATCCACCTATTCCATCCACAACAATCGTCACTAACAACCACAGACTGGTCGAAACTTGGGCTCGCTGTGACCGATATTGGTACGGTCTATCCACATCCCATGCCATATACCACAATTAACACAGGCAGTCAACGGCCACGTCGAATGCAAATTCGACCCAACGACCCAGACATGGCAAGCCCCAACCTTCGTCAAAGACCCTTACCTCCGCATCCATGGTCTCGCCCCGGGCCTCAACTATGGTACACCAATTCCCCTTCCCACACCCCCTCCGATGGTCACTAACCGCAATAGGCCAACAAATCTACGAAGGTCTCAAAGCCACCCGCAATGCCAACGAAGAGATCCTCCTCTTCCGCCCTGACAAGCACGCCTCTCGCATGGCCCACTCCGCCGACCTAGTCTCCATCCCTGCCATCCCGGACACACTCTTCCTCGACGCCGTCCGCCTCGCCGTATCCGAAAATGCTGCCTTTGTGCCACCCCACTCCAGTAACGCAGCGCTCTACATCCGCCCGCTCGCCTTTGGCGCAGGCGGGCATTTCGCCCTCACCCCTCCCCGCGACTACCTCTTCTGTGTGTATGTGCAGCCCTTCGGCACATACCATGGTACCGGAGCAGCGGATGCGCTAGTCATTGAGGAGTTTGATCGTGCGGCGCCCCGCGGCACAGGTCATGGGAAGGTCGGTGGGAACTATGCGCCTGTGATGAAGTATACAGAGTTGGCGAGAAGAGAGGGGTTCCCGCTCACTTTGCATTTAGACAGTCAGTCACAGACGGAGGTGGATGAGTTCTCAACGTCGAGCTTCCTAGGTATTGTTAGAGATGGACATGTGGTTAGGCTGGTGGTGCCGGACAGTAAATGTGTTATTGATAGTGTGACAAGTGATTCGGTGCAGGGGATTGCGAGGAGTTTGGGGTGGGTAGTGGAAAAGAGGAGTGTATGTGTATCTGTTCTCTCCGTTGAGGGATGCATGTGCTGACTGCTTATTAGGTGCCCTGGGATACACTTGGCCAGTTCACTGAGGTCATGGCGGCTGGAACCGCAGCTGCTGTAGTTCCTATCCGGTCTATTACGCGGAGGTCAACTGGGGAGAAGCTTGAGTTCGGGAGTGGGCCGTTGTGCTTGGAGTTGTTGACGAGGTTGAGGAAGATTCAGCGGGGAGAGACTGGAGAGGAATTTGCTGAGTGGGTAGAGGCTGTGAAGGCGCCGGAGACAGTGTATGAGAAGTACGCGGGTGGTAAGGCCAATGGTATTGCAAATGGTGTTCATCAGATCTATTTTGGATAGCTATAGGCTGTCTATGCATTAGGTCTGATGTATGGTCATGTTAGTCAATCAGTATATATTTCTTTACCATTTCAGATCGTATTCATGTTGCATACTGGATTTCCTTCGTATAGTAATTACTTATTGGAAATGAAGCTATGTACTTTTGAGAACGTTTGCAGCTTACTACTACTGCCCAAGTTAGAAAGTCATATAGTATAATTACAGGTATGTGTCCGGTACACTGGCAGATAGATAAATAGTAGTTGGCGTGCTCGAGGTAGCTTTCACTGTGACGCTACTAGAAAAGAGCGTATTATATTAAGTCCAGGGTTTCCAGAACACTTAAGTGTATCAAACAAATGAATACAACTACAATGTAAGTGATAGATGGAGTCTATAGGGCATGCTTAAGACACATAGGACCAACATGATAATGCGCTTGGAACCACAATTGCAACGCGGCGCCGAGGGCGACACAATGTAACTAGTGCCTCAGGCATAAATACGGTCACCTATGTTACATTCAAATACGTAGCGCCTCATGCTATACCACAATCAACATAGACACATTCATTTCCCTCAAGTCCAGCCTGTAATATTTATTACCAAACCATAGTTGGAACCCTCATTACCCTCCACCAACCCGCTCCATCAACTACTCCCTCTCCCTAAAACAAACCATCGGCCCCTCCTTCGACGCCGTGATATGATCATACAGCTGGTACTCATTCTCCCTCTCCCTTCCAGGCCCCAATCCCTTCCTCCCCGCACCAAGAGTCACACCCTTCGCCTCACTCAATAAAAAATCATACCTCCACAACATCGTGGCAATGCCCAGCGTCAACTCCGCCAACGCCAGCCCCTTACCAATACATCCTCTTGGTCCGATGGAGAAAGGATTAAATGCGCCCTGGGCCTTGGCCAGACTGTCTCTATCAGCCGTACCCACGGCCTCAATATCGCCCTCCGCACCAGCTAAAATCCATCGCTCAGGACGGAAATTGAAAGCCTCAGGATAGTAGTTCTCGTTATGGTGGATGGCGTAGATACCGGTTCCGACGTCACAGCCAGCGGGGATGAAGTGGCCATCGAAGGTGGCGCCGCCAGGGCCGACTTCACGCCAGAGGGCGGATCCGGCGGGAGGCGACATGCGAAGAGATTCATCAATACAGGCACGGAGGTAGATACAGGAGCTGAGGCGGGGGCCAAGGGTGATCTCGTCCGGGGACGAGAAGGTGTTCCGGATTTCGGTTGCTACGCGGTTGTACCAGTCCTTGTTGTGGGAGAGGTAGAAGAGACAGGAGGAGAAGGCCGTGGAGGACGTGTCGGAGCCTGGAATACGTCGACTTAAGTTAGCAATATAATAGTGAAAGGCATTGGGATGGATATGTACCAGCTACAACAAGAGTGGTCGTTTCAGCACCAATCTCAGCGAGGGACAAACTCTGCTGAGTCTCGGGATCCTTGGCGTCCAGCAGGAAGGTGAAAACGTCCTGCCGTGCGGACTTCGCCGCCTTGAACCTCCGCTGAAGAAGGGTGTTCACAAACTGGATGAACCTGTTTCGGGCGAGGATGGACTCCGCGAAGATTGCACGGTCCCAGCGCCGGAAAGCAAGAATAGGGGCTTGAGCGAGAACGGATGTCCGGACGTTCGAGTCCTCGATTGCTTTGACAACGTAGCGGTGCTCCTCGCTTGTAACCATGTTGTAGTGTTCACCGAAGAGGACATCGGACATGATGTCGAAGGTAAGGAAGTTGACTGCGTTCATTAGTAAGGATCTGGACATAGAAGGCGGGACCATACAATAATGTGCGACATTCCTTGGAACAGACCACTCACTGGGCTTGCTACCCACAAGTGCACCGCAAAGTTCATTGATATGCTTGAGAATAGCAGGCTGGTACCGCCTTAGTGCAGCATCAGAAAGACCTTGACTGATGATACGTCTCTTTCGGCCGTGTGCCTTCTTGTCGATGAGGGTGAGGGTGTTCGGGGCGCGATGGACCATCGCACTGTAGAGCTTGGACTTCTGAGTGTTGCGTCCGAAGCCGTAGATGTCTTATGCTATTAGCTAGAATCCTTTGGCTGCAATAGGTAGCATACCATGAAGCCCAATGGATGTGTTAATCAAGAGCTGGTTCGGCGCATAGCGAACAAAGTCCCCTACGACAATTAGTAAGTAAAAGCACAGCCAGCCAGACGAAAAGAGGACATACCATATTTCTCATGGCAACGTTGCATGTCAATATGCAAATCACCTTTCCATGCATGATAGCCAGAGTAGAGACATGTGAACTTGGCCCAGAACGGACCTGGAAAGTGTGCGAGTGGATGGAAGAATAGGTGGTGGACCGCATACACAAAGGTCTATGCATGTAAGTAACGCACATAGATTTGGGGCATGAAAACTGACCGAAGCAACTGCAGCACCAAAGATGGCTAAAACGCCTGCCTGCCAATATGCTTGGAATGTAGATGTGAAGACCATGGTACCAGCAATGCCAGGCTCAGCCAAAGGCTTCAAAGACGATGACAGATAACAAGAACTCAGTACAGAGCGTTGGCTGAAGATGCAAGCAGAACAGAACCTTCACACCCAAGTAATATGCCTTTCTGTCGCTGCCAAAGAAGCGACAAGGCCTCGTCGGACATCGTAAGACAAGCATCCAACAAGCTATTTCTCACGAAGTGGACTGAGCAAAGGCTGCAACTCATGCAGGGGTGAGATGACGCCAACCGTCGGACCACAATCCACCTGGCTCATCCATGCAAATACGCCGATGAGCTCCACATTCCTCGTGGCGAGCTGCATGTCTCCACTGATTTCGAAAACGTGGTGAAGGATCAGGGTACACAGCCACCACCTGGGTAATCTTGTCTAAGGGATCAGGATCAGCACGATGTCCACATAGATCGGTATGATAAGATACGGTCAGGAATATAAAACATACAAGCGTAAGTTACGATGCGTATCAATACTAGTGGTGAAACATTTGTAAAATACCGATACGAATCGTCTTCCGGAGCTGAAATGGACTAAGCCCTATTTACGCTCAGATTTCAGGGATTCCGATCCACTGAAACGCTCAGATACTCTCAGCTCAAGGTTCCTAGATGCTGACCATAGCGCGAGTCATGCTGACGAACTCCGAGCCTCGTAGGTGGAGTTGGGGCCAAAGTGTCGGAGCCAGCCGTGATAGCACGCTGGGAGATAACACGCTCTCATGCAAGGCACAGTGCGTGTCTTAGTGTTGAACTGGACTTCGAAGCGCCCATGTGCGACATATATCCTGGGCATGGTTTTCCTCGAAATACCTCTTGGCTCCCATCAAACACACTGTCTCACAGAGCCAACATGGCATCCAAGGAGAAGATTCACCCAAGGGTCCACCGGGAGCTGGCATACGTGTTGCTGACGGAGCTTCTTGCGTGAGTTGGCTTCTCATTGCTTTGAGGCATCGCATCTGATGGGTTTCTCTTAGGTACCAGTTTGCTTCGCCGGTCAGATGGTACGTTACTATGAAGCATTGGCGCTCGGCAAGCCGGAAAGTGATGTGCAGTCGCTAAGTTACCACAGGATCGAAACACAAGACGTCGTGCTCCAGGAGCAAAAGGTTGATCGACTGATTGAAATCGGACCTGCTGAGACTTTGCTTGGCATGATTAAGAAGACATTGGCGGCCAAGTACCAAGTACATGATGCTGCACTTGCCATCGAACGAGATATATGGAGTCATAAGAAAAATGCACGAGAGATATACTATGAGTCAAGCGAGGACGAGCTCGCCCCAGCCCAAACAAGCAAAGAGTCATCCACACCTGCTGCACATCCCTCACAGCCCACCACCCCCGTCACACCCCCCAAGGCAGCTGATACTACCACACCCCAGCCCGCTCCAGTGCGGCAAGCCTCTTCCAATATTGAAGACAAGACTATCGCAGCTATTGACATCATTATTGCCCTCATCGCACACAAACTGAAGAAGCCACTGCAAGACATTGACTTGAGCCAAACCATTAAGAAGCTGGTTGGAGGTGAGAATGAATTTGCTTTCATGCTTTTGCCATGTTTTCTCCACGACCACACCTGGCTTCATACTGACACACTACAGGCCGATCCACTCTGGAAAATGAGATCGTCGGAGACATCGGCGCCGAGTTTGGCTCCATTCCAGACGCCCCCGAAGATACTCCACTGTCAGAGCTCGCTCAATCAATCGAAGCTCACGGTTCTTGGAAGAAAGGCCTGGGAAAGACCACACAGACCCTTGTTAACCGAATGGTGTCGGCAAAAATGCCGGCTGGCCTAGGGTCGGGTGAAGTGCGGGCCCACCTGCTTTCCAAATATGGTTTACAGACAGGCCGCCAGGATGCAGTTTTGTTACGTGCTGCCGTCCAGCAGCCTGCTGCACGGCTCCCTGATACTAGTGCTGCTCATGCTTTCCTTGACGACACCGTTCAACAGTATGCTCAGGATTCGAAGATTGATCTATCTTCAGCAGGAACTTCATCCGATGGAGCTGGTCCATCGTCGGGACCAGTCGTGGTAGACCAGACGGCCGTCAAGGCGCTGGCCAAGTCTCAGGATGACCGTGCCCAAGCCATGCTGGAAGTGTATGCAAAGTTGCTTGGAAATGACCTGCAGGCTGGACACAAGGCCAATACGAAGGCAGCAGAGGTCATAGCAGATCTTCAAGACGAACTGCAGCTCTGGATTTCGGAGCATGGCGAGGTTTACGGCTCGGGTATCAAGCCCATGTTGTCCGTAGCCAAGGCCCGCAGATACGACTCGTTCTGGAATTGGGCGATGCAAGACGCTGTGGATATGTTTCATCACATCCTGGCGGGGACTATTGCGCTGACTGGCCGCGAGATTGAAACCATCATGGGACGGATTGCTCGGAAGTCTAATCCCAAGCTCGTGCAGATGCTGGAATACCTGGAGACACAGTGCCTGAAGCTGCGAGATCCGCGAGCGATTCATGCCCGCGATGTCCTCCGTCAGCTGCGGCTGGCATGTAATCCGCAGTTATCAGGTGCTCAGCCGTTGACTGCCCACCGCTTGGTTGTCGATGCACCGAAGACAACCATCGATAGCCAAGGAAAGATTCACTATACCGAGGTCCCCCGTGCGACCGTCGATGCAGCGTCACCAGCTACCCTCAAGTCTCTGGGAAGTCAGGGCTGGGAAAGTCGAGCGGACTTAAATGCAGCCTTTATGGCTACCCTTGGCCAAACGGACAACCAATGCCTTTCGTTCTCAGACGCAGAAGTGCTTGTCATTGGTGCAGGACGGGATTCCATCGGCACCGAAATTGTACGCGGTCTTCTGAGAGGAGGCGCTCGGGTGCTTGTAACGACCAGCAGTTACTCACTCGCGACGACGCGGTTGTACCAGCAGCTCTACGCTGAAGAAGGATCTCATGGTTCACAGCTCATTCTCTTGCCATTCAACCAGGCTAGTCAGCGAGACCTCGAGTCCCTGGTGTCTTACATCTATGATTCCGACAAAGGTCTCGGATGGGATCTGAGCCATGTTGTGCCATTCGCAGCCATCCCAGAAGGGGGCCGTCAAATTGAAGACATCGACTCCAAGTCCGAGCTGGCGCATCGCATCATGCTGACAAACACGATCAGGTTGCTGGGCGTAATCAAGAAGCAGAAACAAACACGAGGATTTGACAGTCATCCTGCACAGGTGATTCTGCCACTGTCGCCGAACCACGGTATCTTCGGTGGTGACGGTCTGTACCCCGAGTCAAAGCTTGCTCTTGAAACGCTGTTTAACCGCTGGAGCTCCGAGTCATGGGGGGCCTACCTTTCGATCTGCGGTGCGATTATCGGCTGGACACGCGGGACAGGACTTATGAGCGCCAATAATAGTGTCGCAGAGGATATTGAGAAGATGGGAGTAAGGACGTTCTCCCAGGTTGAAATGGCCCACTACATCCTGATACTCATGTCCTCGCCCATCGCAACAGAATGCGAGGTGACACCAGTGCGGGCAGACCTGAGTGGTGGCATGGGCCACTTCCCAAATTTCAAAGAGGCTGTTGATTCCATCCGCCAGAAGCAGAAAGAGACCAGCGAAATCCAAGAGGCCCTAGCAAAGGAAGAGGTTTTCGAGCGCGCTGCCCTTGGGAAGCCATCGGAAGAGACACCTCAGGTGCGGGAACAGAAGGCGAGGCTTGCCCTCGACTTTCCTCGTCTACCTGAGTACCAGACTGAAATCCTTCCTCTCGCTGGTCAGTTGCGCGGAATGGTCGATCTCGACCGCGTCGTTGTTGTCACTGGTTTCTCTGAAGTCGGGCCCTACGGCAACGCCCGGACGCGCTGGGAGATGGAGGCATATGGAGAGTTCTCACTAGAGGGCTGCATTGAGATGGCCTGGGTCATGGGTCTGATTAAGCATCACAATGGACCTCTGAACGGGAACCCGCATTACCATGGCTGGATCGTCGTAGAGACCATGGAGCCTATTCGCGATGTCGATGTAAAGAAGCGTTTCGAAGAGCACATCTTGGCACACACCGGCATTCGGCTCATTGAGCCAGATATTAATGATGGCTACGATCCGTATAAGAAGAAATTTTTGCAGGAAGTTGTGCTCGACGAGGATATGCCTCCGTTGAAGACGTCCAAGGAAACCGCAGAACAACTCCGACTCGAACACGGCGATAAAGTCGAGATCCTTCCTGAAGGCGAGGAGTACACCATCCGTCTGCTCAAGGGAGCCTGCCTCATGATCCCGAAGGCACTTCGATTCGACCGAGCAGTCGCCGGTCAGATTCCGACCGGGTGGGATGCCCGTACGTATGGGCTTACTGAAGATCTCGCCAGTCAAGTAGATCCGGCCACGCTATATGCTCTCATTGGAACCGTGGAAGCACTTTTGAGCGCAGGAATCAGCGACCCATTCGAGATATACCAGTATTTGCATGTGTCTGAGATCGGCAATTGTATCGGCTCTGGGCTGGGTGGTGTTAAAGCACTCCGAAAGCTGCATAAGGACCGCTTCGTGGAGAAGCAGGTTCAAAACGACATCCTGCAAGAATCATTCATCAACACAACGGCTGCATGGATCAACATGCTCTTGCTGTCCTCTACTGGTCCAATCCGCACCCCGGTCGGCGCTTGCGCAACCTCAATCGAGTCACTTGAATCCGGCTACGAGACTATCGTCTCCGGCAAAGCCAAGATGTGTCTCGTCGGTGGTTTTGATGACTTCTCCGAAGATGTGTCGTATGAGTTTGCGAAGATGAAGGCCACCGTGAGTAGTGAAGAAGAGATCGAGAAAGGTCGTGATCCTAGCGAGATGTCACGACCGGCCGCTTCAACCCGTGCTGGATTCGTCGAGTCGCAAGGCAGTGGTATCCAGGTGATCACATCCGCCCAGTTGGCCTTGGACATGGGCCTTCCCATCCAGGGCATCATAGCATGGGTTGGGACAGCTAGTGACAAGATCGGGCGATCCGTTCCTGCTCCCGGCAAGGGTCTCCTTACGAATGCACGAGAGGCACAACACCGAGTCCCATCCCCAATGTTGGAAATTTCATACAGACGCCGAAGACTGAACATGTCACTCCAGCACATCAAGGAACGCGTCGACATGGAAGTTGACATCGCTGAGGCAGAGTTGGCGGACCTCAAGCGCAGTCCCAGCCCTTATGCAGAAGAGCGAACTGAGGAGATCAATGAACGCCTCCGCTATGTACGCCGCGAAGCTCGGATCCAGGAGAAGGACGCATTGAACACGTTTGGTAACCACTTTTGGAAAAACGACCCAGAGATATCTCCGCTACGCGGTGCCCTGGCAACTTGGAACCTGACCATCAACGACCTGGACGTGGTCTCGTTCCACGGAACATCCACCGTGCTCAACGAGAAGAACGAGACGAACATGATTAGCCAACAGTTGCATCACCTGGGTCGAACAAAGGGTAATCCTGCATTGGGCATCTTCCAGAAGTACCTTACAGGGCACTCGAAGGGTGCTGCAGGAGCATGGATGCTCAACGGTGGCCTTCAAGTGCTCAATACCGGGTTGGTTCCAGGCAACCGCAATGCGGACAACATTGACGCAGCCCTCCAAAACGATTATCTGGTCTACCCCAGTCGCAGCATTCAGACCACTGGCGTCAAGGCCTTTTCGGTCACCTCTTTTGGGTTTGGACAGAAGGGAGCGCAAGCGTTGGGTGTGCATTCGCGCTATCTCTTCGCCACGCTGGACCAGGCGACCTATGATGCGTATCGGGTCCGGGTTGAAGCGCGACAGAGGCGGGCGCAACAGCATTTCCGGTTTGGCATCACACAAAATGCGGTGTTTTCTGCTAAAGAGACGCCGCCATACCGGAGTTACCAGGAGTTCCGTGTCCTGCTGGATCCGGAGGCGCGTCTGACTGACAACGGCCGAGGGCAGATGGAATATGCGGGATGACGGTGCGGAGTACTTGATGATTGGGTAGTGGATGGGTTCCCATATCCCTTTGGTTCATGTGTAATCGGACTACTTTCCGACTGGTCTTGCAGACTGATCGAGGTTCCCTTTCTGGTTTTGTGTTGCACGGCGTTCTGCGACTTGCGAGAATATATCCACTTGTTTGGTTTGAGTTTTGAGTTTGTGGATGTATATCTAAAGGGGCTGTGTCCCTGTACCACGGCCGCTGGCTTGACAACTACGCTTGAGTTTTAGCTTCATGATTAGTTTATTCAGCAATATACTATTTGCCTTCAGTTATACTACCGGTTGATGATTGTGTGCACGACTGGGCTAATCTCTCTTTGTGGTCGGGGGTAGCAAAGCAGAAATGTGACATTAGGCACGGTGCGCTCTTTTCCCCTTCTTCTTGCTTTTGCTTTTCTTCGTAGTTGCTCTAGAGGGGGGCTCCCCAAATACAAACATGGTTCCAGGCGGGGAAGCATTCACCTGTACAAATGAAGGCGACTCTTTAGCTGGCCCGCCATAGTCCTCACTAGATTCCGATGGTTGAGCCTGTAAATTAGACACTATCTAAAAGTCAACTATGACAGTTACCCCTAGTAAGGAGTAGTTACAGACCTTTGTCACTTTGATCAAAATAGACTTGCGAGGAGATATCGTCCTCTTCCTCAGTTTGCGATAATCCAAGCCCATCTCCTTCTCCTTCCTTCGGATCCAAATGACGTCCTTCCTTGATACCACTCATTCCAATGCCACGGCTACTAGCGAATTGTCGGCAAGTCCACAAGCCTTTGTCAAGGACTTGTAACTTCTTGTTCAATTGTTGCCGCAGGGCACGGTTTTCATCCGATTCACCGGCGATGCGCGATACCAGCTCAGCCGGCATCTCGAAGACTTTGAGGGGTGTGAATATATCAGATAGAGACTGGACCAGTTTGACCTCCACAACTTCGACTGCAACGTCGTCGATAAAGCGCTTGAGCGCCACCTACAGTAGTTAGTACTGAGTAATATGAGAGGCGTGGCGTTCGGGTGTTGACTGTACCTTGTAATAAGCGAGCATGCAATCCAAAGCTTCGGCTGATGCAAACCGCATCATATCCGGTTCATCGAACGATAGAATTGATTGAACCAGCTTCTCCAGATTATACTCATCCTGTAAGTACACATGATTTGGACTTTCTTCAGCAACCCCAAAGAAATCCTTGATCGTTTCGCGCACGGAAGTCGCGCGCCTCTCCTCACGAATTTTATGTATCGTCTCCGTGAAGTAGTGATTGTACGTGATTGGATGGCCTTGCTGGTGATTTCCAACTAGTTCTTCACATGCTTTAATCAAAGACTTCTTGAGCTGATTCAGTGCGGGTGAGATGACCTTGTCAAAGAGGATCACAGAAGTGGCTTCGTCGGCAACATAGCTTGTTAGAAGTGATAGAAATCTCTCGACGACCTCCCATGTCTCAAGAATATGTCGGTGAGTTATATTCTTCCAAGGGCCGCATTGCTCCTTGAATAGTTCGCCGATGATCATCGGATTAAATGTGCCTGGCAGCTCTCGCCCTCTTGTTTGTCTCATGAGCTCCTGGATGTGATCAATAAACTCGCTTCGCGTGATCGACAGTTGCCCTTTGCGGTCCTCATCTTTAGACTTAAGTGCCAAAATATTACGATAGTGGCCTTGTACAGTCAGACGCTCTGCAAATTCTTCATTAAGGTTCTGAAGAAGTGAACGAATACGCTTTTGCTGGCCCGTAGAGGATTGGGCGCGCTCGAAGAATGGTTCATTGTATGTGCCATCGACGGCTGCCTTGACCAAGGTCTGAAACGATTGACTGATCCTAAGAAGATAAGTCTTCTGCTCATCCAAAGTGGTTCGCGGCTGACCAAGCTTGATCAATTGTCGATTGCAATTATCTTGTTTGTTCTTGATCTCATCAATAAGGCTTGGCAGCTCCGCTGCAATTTGCCGCAGAAGCACCTTGCTGAGGCGGTTCCGCAGAGCATTGATTCCAACACATGAAGGCGGCATCTCCACCCACGCACCCTTAGAAAAGAACTCACGCTCTTTCGTATCACGCTCGGCCAGGGTCCAGCTTCCCTCATCACTATCCATATTTCTTAGCGTATGCCATCCTAGCCGAAACTCGACGTCTCTGTTGTTTGCCAGGGATATGAACATCTTTTCGCTTTCGGAATTGGAAACCAACGTATCAGGCTTAGTGATAACCCCCAAGGTTCGATCGCCTGACTTATCGGCATCTCTTGCGAGTCGTAAGACTATTTGGTTGGCATAGTCATTTTTCGCTGATATCACTGCAAGAATGACACTTCGCGGCTCCTTCATATAGGATTGTACCACATTCTGCACGAGTTGAACATCTGCTGCAGATTGTTGTTTTGTCTCCGAGTGGATAAGCCCGGGCAGGTCGACAATGGTCAAGTGCGGTCGATCCGGTCCTGATACTTCAATCCGGAGGAGATCATTCGAGAACGCTTTGCCGTGAGTGGAGATGCCCATCGCTGCTTTGGCATTGTCGACTAGTTGAGGCAGTCCGTCGAAACCTTCGAGCTCTTCGCAGAAACTCCCCAAAGACCGTTGTTCAGCCTCGCTGCGCGAGTGATGGGGTACGATAGACACTCTAACTCCGACATTGGTATCTTTTCGGAGCACGAGCTCTGTAGGGAACCGTGTGCAGAGGTTGCTTTTGACTGGGAAGGAGACACCGGATATCGCCTCGAGGACCGAACTCTTTCCTGAGGATTGGTCGCCGCAGACAATAATCTGCGGCAGGGACACATAGTGGCTGATCCCTTGGGAACGAAGCGTGTCGATGGAATTCAAGAGATCGAGTTGTTCCCGGGTACATAGGCTGTCCAGGGCATCCGAGCTGAAATTTCTCAAGACCATTGTGTCTGTAGATTGATTCCGTGGTCAATGGGAACCGGGAAGTAGAACAAAGGATAATGAAAATGATTAGTTCCAATGCATTTCTCAGACTTTTCGGATACAGTCTGCCTTAAAACAAGAGATCCTTATATGTTGTGTCGTGTGCCCCTCGGAATTTCCAGACTCGCATGTCCCGTTATGATGTTCACTTGCGCCATGGCAATCCAAGGGCGAGAGAGCCACTGGTCTGATTGATTGACTCGGTCGGAATGAAAGCGGTATGGCTGTGCTACCAGACAGAATGAATTGACCAAACTCAGGGACAACGATTAGCAAGGCTGTTATGCTCACTACCATATCTAAGGCGACGCCATTGTATATTTGGATGTTGTAATCTGCGGTATGCCTATAATTCTGTCATGCTGAGGCATGATAACGCTATATTCATTCGACTTTCTCTGTTTTGACCTCGTTCGTCATTGGTCAGTGGAGTACTATCTTTGCGGCATGTAGATCAAAATCTGAAAGAGGGAATGTGGCAGGAGGATGAAATGCCAGCAGCAGCCATCAGCTATGATAACGACCGTTGTGCAAATATGTGGCCGCCCATCAATCAGAATACAGTAAGTACTTATTGGTTCTGAGAGGGGGACTCGCGATTCTTCGTGGTCGGAAGCTCCAAACCCGTAAATACCAGCATGCCTTTGCCTTCATTGCATAGAACATTCTGTGGTGTGGTGAGGCAAACCATAGCGCCTAGAAATACCTTGATAAGCCCATCAGTTTCGCTCCTTACATCGACATATTATTGACGTACGTTATGCTATTTACCAGCGTGCTAGATAGAGAATTGATCCACTTGTACTACTATCCACAAGCTCAATGTACTTCCTATCGTTTGATAGAATTTTTCACCTACATTGAGGATATGATAGCTTCAGGCCTGAAAGCAAGAAAGCATAGAAAGTGACTTTTATGGACTAGCCTGGAAAACTGACACTTATTATACAGGCAGAACGTATTCCAGGTTAAGCAACTATCTTTTTTTTTGGGGGGGGGGGGGGGGGGGGGGGGGGTTGTTTTAAAAAAAAAAAAAAAAAAAAAAAAAAAAAAAAAAGGCAGGGAGGGGGGTTGTTTTCATCAACATATCGAAAACATATCAAAATCCAAAGTGGTCGGTAGCTTTATGACCAACCCAGCATACCCTGAGGATGTATTATGAGGGTGCTATCACCTCACTTTTAGTATAGCCTTTCTGAAACAAGTCCTGTTCAGGTGATCTGTTTCAGGCAATCATGAAACCATAGACTAAGTCACACGGGCACCTGATAGTTAGTGCGGCAGAAGCGATTTCCACTCTGCAACTCCTAACTAAGGTGAAGGAGTGGCTTGTATAGCTGTTGAATTCGACGTAGTGCTTGCGGATTAATCGACGTTGCAGAGCTTGGTGTGAGTTTCCAGTATTGCAGCAAACCAAGCCTTTTTCAGGCTTGCAATTATTACCCGAGGCGGTTCAGTGGGAATTCAACTCCTAGAGGATATGAAGATCGAACATTGTCCCCAGCCAACAAATCAGCTCGACTTGCGGCGGGTATCACGGACATAAATTCTGGTTGATGAGTTGTGTGGATGAGACTGGAAGTTGGTTTCGAACAAAGAAGAGGCAGCTATCAAATCACTGAGTTTGTGATATCCGTAACTACGGGAGTCGAATTCTGGATGCCTCTTAGTTAAGATCGCACCAACTTCGGAGAGACTAGCCCAACCGTCATCACCCGAGGCTGCTTCTACCGATGTTCGTAGCTGAGTTGCTAGGGGCTCGTCGGTTTGTACTTTCTCGATGGCTACACGGTGTTCAGGTGCGCGGATGCTAGTGGCATGTGGCTCCAGTTCATCAACATGCACGAGGTTCTCCGTATAAATGAATTTATTGCACGCAGCAACAAAAGGCTTTGGCGTCTTTTGCTCGCCGAAACCATAGACCACGAGTCCGGACTCGCGGATACGAGAGGCTAATTTGGTAAAGTCACTGTCGCTGGAGACAAGACAGAAGCCATCATAGCGACTAGTATAAAGGAGATCCATAGCGTCGATGATCATGGCTGAGTCT